GTTCAGAAATAACTTCACAATTCACTTCACTGTAGAATCTTGGAAGGAAGCTGAAGATAGGTGGCTCTTACAAAACTTTACCATGGCAACATAGTCTCTGCCAAAATACTCACAGTTGGGTTACTACAACAAAACTGTAATTGGTTTCAGCCACACCACCACACACACAAAAAAACAATAATAAATAATAAAAATAAAAACATCCTGTTTGAGGATGTCATATCGTGATTTTACAGCAGTAGCCTAACAATGAATGTACACTCTAAAAAATGCTGGGTTAAATATAACCCAGCGCTGGGTTAAAAAGGGACAAACCCAGCTATTGGGTTGTTTTGACCCAGCGGTTGGGTTCAAAACAACCCAACCACTGGGTCAAAACAACCCAATAGCTGGGTCAAAACAACCCAATAGCTGGGTCAAAACAACCCAATAGCTGGGTCAAAACAACCCAATAGCTGGGTCAAAACAACCCAATAGCTGGGTCAAAACAACCCAATAGCTGGGTCAAAACAACCCAATAGCTGGGTCAAAACAACCCAATAGCTGGGTCAAAACAACCCAATAGCTGGGTCAAAACAACCCAATAGCTGGGTCAAAACAACCCAATAGCTGGGTCAAAACAACCCAATAGCTGGGTCAAAACAACCCAATAGCTGGGTCAAAACAACCCAATAGCTGGGTCAAAACAACCCAATAGCTGGGTCAAAACAACCCAATAGCTGGGTCAAAACAACCCAATAGCTGGGTCAAAACAACCCAATAGCTGGGTTATATTTAACCCAGCATTTTTTAGAGTGTAACAATTAATGAAAACTATCATTTCCAAAGTAAATTTTCCAGGGGTTGACATGAACAACACAGTACTTGACACAACCTTAACCTTGTATATAGCCAGTGTTGGCCAGTAAACACAGTTACAACTTCTGTGGGACGTGAAGAAAAAGTAATGTAACTAGTAGTGTAACTAATTACTGTTGCCAGAAAGTAATAATTAAAGTAACAATATTACTTTTGAAATGAGTAACTAGTAATGAGTAATATATTACATTCTTTGAGTAACTAGCCCAATACTGTATATAGCATAGTGATAATCACTAGTATTACCTAACTAAAAGCCTACTTAAAACAGAAGCAATAATAAATAAAAAAAAAAAGTATCTCAAAGACGTTGGTAAATTGGTGAGTCGGTTACTTTGAATCAGCTCACGAATCGTTCAAACGAACCGACTCGCTTAAAGACTCGGATTTCCCAAAGGTAAATACATTTGCTACATTGACTGGCGTTCAGTCCCTCCGAAGCCCCTCCCCCTCTGACTGCCCGCCGGCCTGTTGTCCAATAGGATGCGATATTCAAATACGCTTGTCGACTTCAACCAACAGGATTTCTTCTTACATAAGAGGCACATGTGTATGTATTCTCTGCTCAATTACTTACAGTCACTATTTATTCATGCGGATTGTGAGTGCTTGTGTAATTCACTAGTGGCTCAGAAACCTGTTTTTAAAGCCTGGTTTTGAATTGTGTTGATGTTCTACTGCCAGCAGTAAATGTTTTAGTGATATTATCAAGATCATGCTGTAAACATTTTGTTCTCTTGAAAACTTTTTGTGGAAGTAATTGACATTTCCGATCAGTCAAATTATCTCTTTTTTTTTTTCTGTTGGGTTTAACTGGGTCAAAACAACCCAACCACTGGGTCAAAAACAACCCAATAGCTGGGTCAAAACAACCCAACCACTGGGTCAAAAACAACCCAATAGCTGGGTCAAAACAACCCAACCACTGGGTCAAAAACAACCCAATAGCTGGGTCAAAACAACCCAATAGCTGGGTCAAAAACAACCCAATAGCTGGGTCAAAACAACCCAATAGCTGGGTTATATTTAACCCAGCATTTTTTAGAGTGTAACAATTAATGAAAACTATCATTTCCAAAGTAAATTTTCCAGGGGTTGACATGAACAACACAGTACTTGACACAACCTTAACCTTGTATATAGCCAGTGTTGGCCAGTAAACACAGTTACAACTTCTGTGGGACGTGAAGAAAAAGTAATGTAACTAGTAGTGTAACTAATTACTGTTGCCAGAAAGTAATAAGTAAAGTAACAATATTACTTTTGAAATGAGTAACTAGTAATGAGTAATATATTACATTCTTTGAGTAACTAGCCCAATACTGTATATAGCATAGTGATAATCACTAGTATTACCTAACTAAAAGCCTACTTAAAACAGAAGCAATAATAAATAAAAAAAAAAAGTATCTCAAAGACGTTGGTAAATTGGTGAGTCGGTTACTTTGAATCAGCTCACGAATCGTTCAAACGAACCGACTCGCTTAAAGACTCGGATTTCCCAAAGGTAAATACATTTGCTACATTGACTGGCGTTCAGTCTCTCCGAAGCCCCTCCCCCTCTGACTGCCCGCCGGCCTGTTGTCCAATAGGATGCGATATTCAAATACGCTTGTCGACTTCAACCAACCGGATTTCTTCTTACATAAGAGGCACATGTGTATGTATTCTCTGCTCAATTACTTACAGTCACTATTTATTAATGCGGATTGTGAGTGCTTGTGTAATTCACTAGTGGCTCAGAAACCTGTTTTTAAAGCCTGGTTTTGAATTGTGTTGATGTTCTACTGCCAGCAGTAAATGTTTTAGTGATATTATCAAGATCATGCTGTAAACATTTTGTTCTCTTGAAAACTTTTTGTGGAAGTAATTGACATTTCCGATCAGTCAAATTATCTCTTTTTTTTTTTTCTGTTGGGTTTAATTAAAATAATCAGATCCTCTTCCAAGAGTTTATTCCAAATGCTAGTTCTTGGCAGTATTTTATGTAATCACGATTAAACAAATCCAGTTCTTCAAAGCAGTGGCGGCAATATCACTGGCTGGAATGTTTTCACAAGTCACAAGTTGAGCACACTTGAAAACATGACATTATAATAGCTGAATTTACCTGCAATTAAACTATTATGCCGTTTTAGTAATATTCTAAGCTTTTTATGCTCATAGTGTACACACTTCCTTCCAAAATAAATCTTACGCATTTGTCATAACCAGCTGGACATGCATCTGTTCAGAGAAAATGGCAGCTCACGATACTACAACAATATTTCTAACATTCCAATGTAGTCTTTTTGGGTTTAAAGAACATTTCCAGTCTCAAACTCCATTATAGTGGCATAGAGCATGGATGCAGCGTGGAGCTTTAGGACAAAGGCAATGGAGGGCAGTGTTTTGCTCGCCTCTTTCCACCACAATGCATCAGGAACAATAGGACAACTCTTGTGACCCATTCTGAAATAAAAGGCTGCTGAGTCTCAAAGAGCAGCTTTTCTCCTATTGTTTTGAAGGCCTGGTGCACTATTGACCAAGACAATATAAGGTTTACTAGCATTTGGTTAGATATCCTAGTTGCTACAGCAACAATACTATTACTATTATATTAATAATGTGAATAATACAAGTTTTCATCTGTTGCTCTCCACGCTTGACCGGCAGTAATTAGATTAGCTGCAGTAATAAGTCAAGTCACCTTTATTTATATAGCGCTTTTAACAATACAGATTGTGTCAAAGCAACTGAACAGCATTAATTAGGAAAATAGTGTGTCAATAATGCAAAATGACAATAGTAAACACAAATTTTTCAGTTAAAGACAGTTCATCATTGAATTCAGTGATGTCAACATCCAGCTCAGTTTAAATAGTATCTTTGCAATCAAGTCAACGGTATCGCTGGAAATGAAGTGTCCCCAACTAAGCAAGCCAGAGGCGACAGCGGCAAGGAACCAAAACTCCATCGGTGACAGAATGGATATCCTGTCTTCTGAGTAACATTGAGAATATCACTATATATTGTTGCAACACCGCCGCCACGACCAGTAATAATGGTCCACTACTTTTAATAACAGAATTAACATTTAAATCCTGGTGTTTCCACAGGTTTATGAGTAAAATTGATTGATATTGGATGTTCATATGCATCTTCTACAAACAGAAATCATTCACAATTCATGCTTAAAACAAGATTATTTTAAGTTTAACGGCAGCATATGTATACAGTGTAAAAAATTAATAAAAGGTTTTTAGAAGTTGTAAATAAAACAATTTATTGGATTACTCCAAATTATTGGAGTACGTCTTACAAGGAGAGTCTTCCTTCACGTTTAATTCAGCGTGTTACTTGCCAGTTTTTCTAGCAATCTAGCCATTTCTTTCAGTATACATTTAATGGTGAGAACAATTAAAAGAGATATTTTTAATGAGAGGACTAAGAAATATGTGGAAATCTATCATGGATTGCTTGGGTTGTTACCGAGATCTGGTGAAAATTTCAAGTCAACAGCACCTAGAAATATATTTACTCAGAAAAATGGTGACATGTTCTACACTTATTTTACCCGCTGTATATATACACACATTCTGTTATGTTACAGCCTTATTCCAAAATAGATTAAATTCATATTTTTCCTCAAAATTCTACAAACAATAACCCATAATGACAATGTGAAACAAGTTTGTTTGAAATCTTTGCAAATTAAAAAAATAAATAAAAATCGCATGTACATAAGTATTCGCAGCCTTTGCCATGACACTCAAAATTGAGCTCAGGTGCATCCTGTTTCCACTGATCATCATTGGGATGTTTCTAGAACTTGATTGGAGTCCACCTGTGGTAAATTCAGTTGATTGGACATGATTTATAAAGGCACACACCTGTCTATATAAGGTCCCACAGTCAACAGTGCATGTCAGAACACAATCCAAGCCATGAAGTCCAAGGCGTTGTCTAGACCAGTGGTTCCCAACCCTGGTCCTTGAGGCACCCCAACACTGCACGTTTTGCATGTCTCCTTAATCAAACACACCTGATTCAGATCATCAACTCATTAGTAGAGACTTTATTACCTGAAATTGGTGCGTCAGAGAAAGGAGACATGCAAAATGTGCAGTGTTGGGGTGCCTCAAGGACCAGGGTTGGGAACCACTGGTCTAGACCTCCGAGACAGGATTGTGTCGAGGCACAGATCTGGAGAAGGAAGTGAATACTTTCCAGATGCACTTGTATATAATGAGTCAAATTATGATTCAAACTAAATGGTGAAACAATTCCTTTCTTTTAGTTCACTGAGAGAAGGTTTTGCTTAAAGGGATAGTTCACCCAAAAATTCTGTCATTACTTACTCAGATTACTCACCCTCACGTCATTCCAAACCCGTAAGACCTTCGTTCAGCTTTGGAACACAAATTAAGATATTTTTGATGAAATCCAAGAGCTTTCTGACGCTCCATAAACAGCAAGAATCCTACCACGTTCAAGGTACCAAGAATAAAGACAAAATAGTGCATGTGACATTAGTGGTTCAACCGTACTTTTATGAAGCTACAAGAATAGTTTTTGTGTGCAAAAAACTAAAATAACTTTTATTTAACTATTGATGAACGAAGGTCTTACGGGTTTGGAATGACATGAGGGTGAATAATTAATGACAGAATTTTAATTTTTGGGCGATCTATCCCTTTAAAGACTCGGTAGTTGACATTTCAGTAGTTAAATTAATTTTATAGTTCAAATGACAAAACTGTGATATGTATTCATCAATGATTGTTTATTCCCCCAATTACTGACTTTCACAGAAAGTTAGAATGTAAGTTTATGAAATATAGCCTCAACACAAATCATTTAGTTCAACCCACAAATCCAGGCCATTGGAACCCATTGAGAAGTGAAATTGTATCCTCTGTCCCATGGCATACATGTGAAGGTGCAGTGTTTCATTATTGTGTCTTTTGTACATAGTCTTTTTCTTACCATGCTCCTCTGGTGATGTTGTACCTCAGAGACCCAGCATGAGAAACTCGCCCATCTCTTTGTCTGTCATTCAGCGGATCTTGTTTTAGGCTGCTGGGAGAGAGGCCGCCAGGTTCCCACAGAGGTGTAGAGCATTTATCAGCTAGGTAAGTTAACCGTTCCTAAGTGCTGATGTTGGATAAGAGCAAGCGAGTCACAGCCAAGCCAACAAAGAGTGACTTTGTCAGTTCTGTCACATATACCCAAAATGCCTTTTAATTCAGGGGGACAAGAGGTGGATTTTCCTCTTCTGTAATCTGTTGCTATACATCAGATACTCGAGCTGGAACTAAGAGAGCTCTGTTAGTCCTTCACTTACATAAGGGGCATTTAGCCCATAACACATATACTGAGGCCTGTAACGTTGTACTGTATAGAAAAGCAACATGATACATTGTACATTGTGAATTTGAGATTTGACTGTCTTTTCCTTCTACGTTTTGTAGCTGTACAAAACTGCATGTTAAACCTTTTGCAAATTACAAACCAGTCCCAGCTTGCTGTGTCCGTGAGCGAACTCATACAGCACTTTTCTCTGGCCTGCTTTTCCATGTTTTCCTACTGACTTCGCTTTCAGCCCATATAGAAAATGGAAAATATAACTAGAAAAAGAAAATATATTCCTTATGTATTAATGATCAATATATTAAATTATTTAACGTATATTAAATATACAGAATAATATATTGTGTTAATAATATATTACAATATATTGAGCAATACATGGGGAATTGATGCTTTTCAGATCTTGAAAAATATGTAATGTATTTATTTATATATCGTAATGTCATTTTATATTCAATGATGCACTTTTTATATAGATGTTCATGTGATAAAATATGGTACTGTGTTTTACACACACACATACACACACACATTAGAATATATGTACTATGTATGTGCAATATGTACACAATTGTGATAGATAGACAGATAGATAGATAGATAGATAGATAGATAGATAGATAGATAGATAGATAGAATCACACAGGCCTGCAAAGGGACTGTAAATACACAACAGAAAATTGCTTTCGACAGACCATTTAATGGGATCTTTAAACACAAATAAGCCTTAGTCTTTTGTAAGACAAATAATATCTTCATGCATTGCTATGACCCACTGACTGATCTAATGAAATAAAACGTTTTGTGTCTCCAGTGCAGCACTGCATTCTCCAGTCATGAGGTGCAGTAACTGATGGCAGATGGCGGCTGTTGGCATTTGTACCCGGCTGGCGCCCAGACTGAGTCATGGAAAGCTCGGTGTGAGGCACAAACAGCTCTCACTCGACACTTTAAACCAACCATGTAGGACAATATCAAAACCAGACTCAAAAAATATTTTTTTGACAGTGGATTAGTCCATATAGTTTCAGATATAATGTCACATATAAGAAAAGTCATTGTAAGGTCACCTTGGGTTGTGTTATCTAATGCCCTTGAAGGTGTTAGCGTCCGTTTTGCTTACTTATTGAATTCAAGAGCTAGACTTTTCAAGCGGATTGCCTGTAGGACAGCAGATCCAAAGCAGATGAGCAGAAACGAGATTTTTCAGGATTCTCGGGGAACATCAGCTTTGAGTTGTGTATTTGCGCAGTAAATTTCCAGTGAATTCATTGCTTGTCTGAGATGTGAGATAACCACAGCAGGTTGTAAATTAAATCAAACCCTGATGTTGGTTTTGTCTGGTTGTACACTGACAAAGAGGTCAAACCTCAGGCAAAACACTGGGGAAAACGGCACCATCCAAAGTTTCCATAGAAATTGCTAATAAATCATCTTTATTTAGGGCTTTTCAGATGTTCTTTATTTAGCGCTAGTTTGTAGTGTGCAAATACATCTTTCTGGAACCCAACAAAAAAGCTGAAGGCATGTATTTATTTGTTTGTTGTCATATTGTTTTGAACATAAGAAATACATTATTTTTGTGTTCTTTGTAGAAGACATCAGTACTCCGTTACAAAGAAAACAATGCATTGTTTTCTTTATTAATATTCTTCAATAACATTACCTGTTTTTTTTTTTTTTTTTGCAAAGATCAGGTTTTATCAATTTTATCCACTGAACAGCTACAACATTAAAACCACTAATATTGTGTAAGTTCCTTTCGTGCTTCCAAAACAGCTCTGATGTGTCAAGGCATGGACTCCACAAGACCTCTGAACTTGTCCTGTCTCTAGCACCACTAGCAGCAGATCCTTTAAATTCTGTAAGTTGTAAGTTCTGTAGCCTCTGAAGGGCAGTACTAAATGAAAAAATATGATATTTTGGCAAAATAAGAAAAATGTACACATCTCCATTCTGTTCAAAAGTTTTCACCCCCCCAGCTCTTGATGCATCGTCTTTCCTTCTGCAGCATCAATGAGCAATTAAAACCACTAATATTGTGTAAGTTCCTTTCGTGCTTCCAAAACAGCTCTGATGTGTCAAGGCATGGACTCCACAAGACCTCTGAACTTGTCCTGTCTCTAGCACCACTAGCAGCAGATCCTTTAAATTCTGTAAGTTGTAAGTTCTGTAGCCTCTGAAGGGCAGTACTAAATGAAAAAATATGATATTTTGGCAAAATAAGAAAAATGTACACATCTCCATTCTGTTCAAAAGTTTTCACCCCCCCAGCTCTTGATGCATCGTCTTTCCTTCTGCAACATCAATGAGCATTTGAACCTTCTGTAATAGTTGTATATGAGTCCCTCAGTTGTCCTCAGTGTGAAAAGATGGATCTCAATATCATACAGTCATTGTTGAACAGGGTTCAAATACACAAAAATGCTGCAAAACCAAAGAATTTGTGGAACATGAAGGATTTTTCTGAAGAACAGCAGGCAGTTTAACTGTTCAGGACAAACAAGGGACTTATGAACAACAATCACTAAAAAAAAAAAACCCGCTGCAGATCATTCAGGTAAGAACACAGCATTAAGAATCAAGGGGATGTAAACTTTTGAACGGGGTAATTTTTATAAATTCAACTATTATTGTCTCTTGAAGAGTACATGTAAACATATTTTATGTGAAATATCACTACTACAGTACTAAAAATACAATAACATGCATTTTGTATGAGATATATATATATATATATATATATATTAACATGTTTAATACACAAAAATGCTGCAAAACCAAAGAATTTGTGGAACATGAAGGATTTTTCTGAAGAACAGCAGGCAGTTTAACTGTTCAGGACAAACAAGGGACTTATGAACAACAATCACTAAAAAAAAAAAACCCGCTGCAGATCATTCAGGTAAGAACACAGCATTAAGAATCAAGGGGATGTAAACTTTTGAACGGGGTAATTTTTATAAATTCAACTATTATTGTCTCTTGAAGAGTACATGTAAACATATTTTATGTGAAATATCACTACTACAGTACTAAAAATACAATAACATGCATTTTGTATGAGATATATATATATATATATATATATATATTAACATGTTTTTTTAAAGCCCGAGATGCTGGGATAGACTTCAGTATCCATGGAATTGATGGAAGGATATACAACTTGTTTATGCTATTAATCTGTAATGTCTCCTCAACAGATGGAATATATCTGCTACACCCTGATGTCTGTTACAAAGACATCAAGAAATCACTGACATTTTATTGACAAGGAACTATTGCAATATCATTACACTTTTTAAAAACAATGAAAAGAAAGAAGTGTTGTCATCATCAAACCAGCAAGCATTTTGTATGCTTGAAAAGTATAAGATGTCTTCAGTGGCATGGATGGTCTGTCAAACAAATATCTTCTAAATAGGACAAAAACGAACAGCTGCGCTCTTATACAGCATATAAAATGGCACACATTAAGTCTGTTTTCCACATCATATCACGTTAGTACTGTGATGTGACTTTACCCAATTCATGCAAAATATATTATATAGTATTTCAAACATAATTCAGCATGTCAGTTACAGATATCAGATTTGAGAGATCAGATTTATCTCTGATTTGAGAGCACAGGAGTCTTGTCAAAACGAGTTTTTCATCTGTTATGGTAATATAAATGTCCATTCCTCTTGAAAGAGGAGTTTTGTCACACTTTATATTTCTGTTTCCCCATCTCACTGATGACGCAGATGTGCTGTGAAGGGGAAGAAATCGTTTACGTGAGTCGAGCAATAAATAAAGCAGAAAATAAAACTGTAGAAATAACGCAGCAAAGCGTTTGCTTCTGCTTGTCTGCAGTGTGACAGAAAGATGTTTTCCATCACATTTACAACTGCAGGAGGGGCTTGTACACGTGATGTGGGAGGCTGATTAGAGTTTTCTAGGAAAGATGAATGCTGTGCTGCATGCCAGATTTCATTTGGATGTTCACCAAGTCCCGCTCAACACTCAGCGCTGACATTCAAGCTACAGGTTTAGATGACTGTGAAGATCATGTCTTATATAATGTTGTATGACAAGCTTTGATGTGGGTAGGCCTTTTTATGCAGCTTTAAACCTTTTCCTTTTTTTTCTGTCTATAATTTCAGGTTTTTGGTTGTGCTGTGTTTTGATGCATTTGAAACAAATTAAGTCAATGTTGTTAAGTTGGGCTATTCCAAGGGGTAAAAGTTTGGCCCTGCTGGTAAATAACTACACCAATTGAACCTATTTTTACGAGGAGGCGATATTGCACAAATTCATACAATCTGATCGTATTGAAATGATTTAAAGGAGTGTCTATTTACCTTGTTGCCAGAGGCTATTTACACTAACTCCGCCCACCAACTTGTGGTTGGGCTCTACAACATTACAAAAAAGGTCTGCTGAATAACAGTTCCAGTGGTAGGTGGTAAATCACGTAGCAGTGACTTTTTGACGCGATCAACCTGAGTTCAAATCTGCCTTTTGCCGAACTCCTCCTTCTCCCTTTTCACATCACATATCAGACTGGAAAGGCATTTATTTTCAATAAAATGAATGAAGAAAACAAAGTGCCTCATGGGTGTTTTTCGGCTAGGGGCAGGTGTAGGGATGGCTTTATTGTCCCAAGAAGAGACAATAAAAATGTAATAAATGTAATAAAAATTATTATTTACACTCAATACATTGTTATTGCATACTGTTTTATAATGTACTACAATACTGAGGTGCAAATATCTGCCAGTTGCACTACGCAGTATAAATAGCATCTAATATTATTGCAAAAAAAAATGCTACTAAATAGTGTAAATAGAGTCTATCGCTATTTTCACTTTGTGTAAATAGCATCTGTTGCTGTTTGCACTTAGTGTAAATAGTATCTATTGCCACTGCCTTTGTACAAAAAAAAAAGTAAGCATCAAGTTCCAGGCCCTAACGTGGGGCTTAAGCTGATGATACAAAAAGTATTAAATAAATTACACTAATTCATACAAATTAGCCATCAATTTGCCAAACTGTAAAATAGTTACGAATTGCTAAGGGAGTGAGTTGCATTTTCCTGTGGCTCCAGAAATAAGTGTCATGTTATACTGTACCTGTTTAAAGGTCTGTCCACACCGAGAATAATTATAATGATAAGCATAAGCATCCACACCAACGCACAATATTGTTCTGTTTAATATAAGCGTGCACTGCCGTTTTGTCTCCTGCTGCTTTAAGTTCTAAAGCGTTTTAAAGTTGTGTGGATACTGATTGCTGTCAATGTTTTTATCATTCATCAGCTGGAAAAAAAAAACATTTTGAAAATGATTCAATTGATATCATTCCTGTGTCGATATCGTTATAGCTGTGATGTGGACTCCCCTATCCTCATAGAATTGGAACAATAATTAAAACTTTATAGTTTTCATTGTTGTTAAAGCTATTGTCCTTGGTAAAAATGGGTCTTGAGACTTTTATTTTGAAAGATATTTATGTTCCATTGTTTCTGTTCTCTCTGCCTGTGTTTTCTTTGAGTTTGCTTCCATAGTTATGCTGCGTTCAAGTCCTCCTGGGACGTTCGTACTTACGAGTTGACAAGTCGTAATTATGACGTCAGGTGTGTTCAAGTTAGTTTAGTCGGCACAAGATGGCGGTGTACCTTCTTTTAATAAATTACAAGAAAATACAAACAGGGTCTGTTAACTCTGCTTATAGAAAACGAAGAGCAAAGAAATCGCATCAGGTGTGTTTTGCGTTTTTAATATTTTTTTTAGACCAGGATCCCAGTATAACTGATTTTCAGCATCAACAAACGCTAAAATACAGAGATAGCTAAATGCAACATGGCAAATCAAAATATTTTTCACCTATAGGTGCAAAAATGATAGCATTTTTTTTACTTGGATTTCATTAACTAGCTGCGTAACAAGAACATGACCAATTTAAGTTTATAGGACAACTAAACTATCAATTTAAACAAAAATTTACCGTCAACTACAGACGTTGCATCCATCGATTCCGCTATGTTTCTCATTGACACGCCCCCAACTCGGGGCTTAAAGAAAATTTCGAGTTTCCCACTCGTAATAACGACTTTGTGGTGGCGTTCATGTGCGTTCAACTCGTAAATACGATCTATCCAACATGACTTAAACGCACCATTACTATTATGTTTTCTGATTATGTTCACCTGTGTCTTGTTTAGTTCCTCATTTACCTCTGAAAATATCTAGCCTTGTGTTTCTCTTCAGTTTTCTGGTAATTGTCTTAGTTTTGTAAAGCTGTTTGGTTGCTGTTTTCATCTTGAATTATCTTCTTGATTTAAATAAAATACTGCTGTATATAAATCTTCATTTCAGCTAACTCCTTCCTGCAATGTTACAAACAGAGTTCTGGATCAAAAAATTAGGTACTACCATGATACCAAGTCCAAAAAACAACAACTGTACTCTCTTCGGTACTTTTTGTGGGGTTTCAAAATCAAAGTTTCTCATCATTTTATTTCTAAAATGTCATAGAACTAAAAAAAAATAGACATGAACTTACATTGAGGTCTCTGAAGTACTCGTTGTAGTCCAGAGCGTAACCCACCACAAAACGATTAGGAACGACAAATCCAACATCTGCAGAGAAACATAAATAACCAGATCACACTAATCGCAGTCATGTTCAGATAATCACTCTATTCCCTGTGTGATATTGTGATTCATTACGGCCCATTTCTGCAGGCCAGAAGTAGTGTTTGAGCACCCTTGATCACTCACAGTCTGGGAGCTCCGCCGTCCCGTGAGGAACCCTCTTCACCAGCAGCCTGAGTGAGGAGACACAGGGACACATTAACAGCACTAACGAAACCCTTAACCTCCATTAGATCTCATTCAGAATGACGAAAATGTCACAATCTGCCTCTCTAGATTCGTTCTCAGGCTGTGCATCCTCTTACAGTGTTTTAAAGTAATTCCCCCTCTGATCTCACCCTGCAGCTTTAACCATTTTGGGCTGGAAAGTCTCCACGTGCTGTAGAAGGGCTCTCATGGTCTTTCCTGTGTCCACTATTGCCTGTGAAGAAATGAATACATATACGATTACACTGGAATGGATATATGGTGATACATGAGACAAAAGCTCTGTTCTAATAAGCTGGCTATTTGAATTCTGTCTTCCTGTGGAGTTCTGCAGGTGCAGATTCCATGTGGGTTTGCTCATAAGTGATTACTTGTACCCCACACAAAGAGCAAATTTGCAAGCCATACAAATGTCATTCTTTACATGAAGCACACAAGAAAAATTCACAATTGACCTCAAAAGAGTTTGACGTTTTGAAGCTAACAATGCATGCATTCTGACAGCTTCATGTCTTTAGTGCAGCTATAATATGATGCTTTTTATAACAGAGCAAATTTTTCAGAGTAAGAGAAAATGAGTGTTTAACTTACAAATGAACCACACAGTAAATAAAAGAAGAATGGAAATTGGCACACAACTCATAATGAGAGTTTATAACAATGAACAAAACAGACCCAAAGGTTACGGGAAAAAAGTGATCAACAGCACTGTTTGTATTTAATGCAACAGCTCATGTGATAGAGTGATCTACACGGGTGATTCCAGACTGGAAAATGTCTGATATGAAATCAGATCTGAAAGGAAAATACCTTTCTACTCTATTGTTTTCCAGACACAACCCAGACTACCCTGTACATGTGCAATGGGAATGATTCATAACAACCTCTGTTTGCTTCTCTCTTGTACTTTTATTTCAGCTGGCTTATCATGTGTGTTTTTATGATTGTTTTCTATTTTTTCACCTTAAATATAATTACAGTTCATCTGTGTTGTGATAACATTTAATGACCGTATCTGCATACTTTTTAAACATGCAATAAACACACACACATACACACCATCTTACCTCCACAATCAAGACATTCTGTATGGCATGTGTAAAGAAGAGAGAGAGAGAGAGAGAGAGAGAGAGAGAGAGAGAGAATGTGTCAGAATTTAGAGAATGCAAACATTTTAAACAACATCCAAAAAAGAATCCGGATATCATCAGAAAAATGACATAGACTTCAGTTACATACAATGATTAATATAATGCCACATTAACAGTTTCATTTAGACTTTTGGTTCATTTATTCATATTTTAACCCTTTTTTCATATCATAAGAACTTCATGGGTCATGTATTTTCTTGTACACCTACTGTAAGCTGTAGAAATGTGATATAAATGTATATTGTAAATGTAATAAATGTATTCCTGTGATCATTTCTCCAGAATCTTCAGTGTCACATGATCCTTCAGAAATCATTCTAATATGCTGTTTACTGCTTATGAAACACTTATTAATATTATCAATGTTCAAAACAACTGTGGTGCTTAATATTGTTGTGGAAACTATGATACTTTTCTAGTCCTGGTAGTTCAGAAATGTATCAGCTTTACAAGGTCTCAGAACTCTTCTGAAGGGACACAATGATGTGGTTTGTTGTTGAAAAAATCAGCCTTAGAAGCTGTATGAACTTTCTCACTAAACACACTAACACATTTAACAGTCTGCTGTTAGAGCAACCCCTGATCCAAGATCCATACAGATACACAATCAATTCATCAGACACCCTGATACAGTGTAATCATGAAAATCACACACAAACTGCTACAGCGAAAATTATTACACAACTAGTTTGAATGTTCTAGGTTGTGTGTGTGTGTGTGTGTGTGTGTGTTTGTTCTGGAATTTTATACACTTGACTTTTTGGAACATATTAAGGCTTGCTTCACGCATTGTACTGAGAGCGGGTGTACTATTAAAACAAAACAATTTAATTCCTTTGCATTTACAGAGAAGTGGAATGGACTCTTAATAGCATGACTAGGTTTTTTTTTTTTTTTTATGAATGGTCTTGCTTCCAGGATGTTTGCTTATAGCTGTTAACCAGCTGGATACTAGGAAATTACTATGTGGTTAATATGATGTTGCTCTAAAGTTTTTTAGTGTACTCCAAGGCAGTTGCTAGGGCATTCTGGGTAGTAGGATGTTGCTTGGTGATATGGGTATTAGAGTGTTCTAATTGGTTGTTTACTGGCCCAAGTCAAAAGGGTCCACCTCTAAGTCTCTAAGATATTTTAAGGGGCTTTCGCTTTGGGTGGTTATAGGAACTCAGTTACAGGAACTAGCCACCAGCGCAGTTCCCCGGGTACTAAATTTTGGTTGCATTTGCACCACCAGTAGGAACTCTGAACTGATGTAAACTGGGCATTCAACATCGTCAACAAATGGACGATGGAGGACAGAGAAGTGCCTGGACTTTGGTATCAGTCCATCTTTTTTTAAATTTCTGATTGTAAGGTTTTATATTGAAATTAATTGAGTTTGAAAAATTTGCCAAACAATGAAGTATCTTTACATTTAAGAAAAGACCTGAGGCAAACCAAGCAACTTTCTGTCCAAATCCACGTTTGCTAAAACGAAAACGATGTTTAACGATGGGAAAAATGGTAGTATGCCCGGTGCATGGTCTAAAAGGGTTGTCCCTATTCTCTTAATGAGTAATGGGTGTGTTTTGGGCATAACGTGCAATAAACCAATCAGAGTCTCATCTCCCATTCCCTTTAAGAGCCAGTTGCACTCGTGCCATGGTGGATTCCCTATTTACATGGCAGAATTTGCAAGCGCAAAGACTGAACGCGTCTCCAGAAAGGAAACGGAGCTGCTTGTGCGCGAGGAAATAGGTAGCATAATTCTGATACATGTAATGACTATCCATTATGACATGTAGGCATTTTTATATTTATGTAGCCTACACAATAATAATCTTTTACATTGTAATCCTTTCATTTTTAATATTTGGCATGCTTGTGTGCTGCTGTGCGTCCCTGAGTGTGTAATAAGCAGAGTGTACGCGCGCTGTGGACCCACCTATACTAACGCGCTCTTTAAATAACAAAAAAACTACTGCGCCATTGACTTTAGACCAGGTTTTAGTTGGTCAGTGGCGCAGTCTATTTTAGTTGCCTCAAAATAGGAATACGCAAGCAATGCGCCTGAACACACTGAGTGTGTAATAAGCAGAGTGTACGCGCGCTGTGGACCCGCCCATACTAACGCGCTCTTTAAATAACAAAAAAACTACTGCGGCATTGACTTTAGACCAGGTTTTAGTTGGTCAATGGCACAGTCTATTTTAGTTGGCTCAAAATAGCAATACGCGAGCAATGCGCCTGAACACACTTCGTTTTCAGACCAGCACGCCCATGGGCGCACAAATGGGCGCAAATGCATTTGTTATTTAAACAGCATGGCGCAGGACGTGAAAATGATAACTGCGTCAGGCTGAAACTAGCAAAAAACACTTGTGTCGCGCCTGGAGCTGCATTGCGCCAGGTGTATAATAGGGCCCACTCTGTGTAAACTACAAAGATGACTATTTGGAAAATGCCAAAGTGACATCGCCAACTACTGGCCTGGCATGGATAATACAGAGTTTTTAGCACAGACTGTAAAAAAAGATGGACGACGCATCTCTATTTCCTTCCACTATAGAAAAGTGAAGCCAAAACATCCCAGTATGGCAGCTGTCATCTTGGATGATGTCATTTGGAGTCAGAGTCTGTGCAGTAGTGGTTCATTTGGAGCCAGATTCTGCGCAGTAGTGGTTCATTTGTTCTAATTGGTTGTTTACTGGCCCAAGTCAAAAGGGTCCACCTCTAAGTCTCTAAGATATTTTAAGGGGCTTTCGCTTTGGGTGGTTATAGGAACTCAAGTTACAGGAACTAGCCACCAGCGCAGTTCCCCGGGTACTAAAACCGCAGTAGTGGTTCATTTGGAGGTAGAGTCTGCGCAGTAGTGGTTCATTTGGAGACAGAGTCTGCGCAGTAGTGGTTCATTTGGAGACAGAGTCTGCGCAGTAGTGGTTCATTTGGAGACAGAGTCTGTTCAGTAGTGGTTCATTTGGAGCCCGAGTCTGAGCAGTAGTGGTTCATTTGGAGACAGAGTCTGCGCAGTAGTGGTTCATTTGGACGCTGAGTCTGTTCAGTAGTAGAGCCAGACTGTACTGTTCAGCGCAGTAGAGCCAGAGTCTGCGCAGTAGTGGTTCATTTGGAGCCCGAGTCTGCACAGTAGTGGTTCATTTAGAGGCCGAGTCATTGCAGTAGTGGTTCATTTGGACGCTGAGTCTGTTCAGTAGTGCTTCATTTGGAGGCAGAGTCTGCGCAGTAGTGGTTCATTTGGAGGCCGAGTCTGTTCAGTGGTGGTTCATTTGGAGCCAGATTCTGCGCAGTAGTGGTTCATTTGGAGGCCGAGTCTGTTCAGTGGGGGTTCATTTGGAGCCAGATTCTGTTCAGTAGTGGTTCATTTGGAGCCCGAGTCTGCGCAGTAGTGGTTCATTTAGAGGCCGAGTCTTTGCAGTAGTGGTGCATTTGGATACTGAGTCTGTTCACTAGTGGTTCATTTGGAGGCCGAATCTACGCAGTAGTGGTTCATTTGGAGGCAGAGTCTGTTCAGTAGTTGTTCATTTGGAGCCAGAGTCTGCACAGTAGTGGTTCATTTGGAGCCCGAGTCTATTCAGTAGTTGTTCATTTGGAGCCAGAGTCTGTACAGTAGTGATTCATTTGGAACCAGAGTATGTGCAGTAGTGATTCATTTGGAACCAGAGTATGTGCAGTAGTGATTCATTTGGAGCCCGAGTCTGTACAGTAGTGATTCATTTGGAGGCCATATCTGTGCAGTAATGATTCATTTGGAACTTGAGTATGTATATATATATCGAGCATGATAAGAACTACCTAAATAAAATGATGGAAACATAACGTAAAATGAAGTGTAAAAGTGTAAAAAGTGTAATTTTTTGGCGGGCTTACATCCCATTCATTTAAATGGAGAGGGTGGAGTTTTTGACCTATACTGGGTTTTGTACTGTACTTGGTTTTTAGTTGTTTTTGTGAACAGGGATCATTTTGACAACGTTGTCGTCTGTATATGAATCTTTTCAAAAATGCAAAGGAAAAACTTTTCGTACATTTTTAGTACAATTGTCGTCATGTAAAAGTACCTACCCTAAGAAAAGTAATACCAACTCTGTTCAAAAAGCCACAATCTGATTTGAGGTATCATTCATGTTTGTATCATTGGTACGTTTAATAGGGGTTGTTCAAATCACTATCCCTAAATACTGCATGAGCAATATTGCCTTAATCACTGATAATAACGCTCATTTTAACGCTTTCTTTTTACCAAAAAAAAAAAAAAACTGGTATAATACCTTCCCTTTCAGCATGGAGAGGTCATCTGGTCCAATAATGTGCATATCTTCAGTGGAATGGTCATTCTGTAAAACACACAGTGAGGAAAACACAGAGATGGATGTTAAAAGGCCCCTGCTGTGGCCCTGTCAGCACATATGATCTTACAGTCTCTACTGTACAGACATGAGCACCGCGGACACAATCGACTGCTGTATGCCGGACAGAAGCTGCTTTTGTCTGATGAGACAATTGGGTTGCGTCCTCTGCTCAGGGTCAAGTTGATCTTCTGTGAAGGGGTGAAGTGGCTCTTCTGTGCTTGAGATGAAAGTTCTGGTTCGGTTGTGTTCAGACAGGAAGTGGAGCCACTGGCTGATGGACTAGAGGCTCCTCAGGGGCCCATGAGTAAATCACCTGACTTTGAAGACCCACCCAGCCATGACAGAACAATTTGACCTTTACTGTATCCTCAGAGTGGATTCTCTTTGTGTATTTCAGTTGTAGATAGACACTTATTTTGATAATATGTACTAAAAGACAAGTTTGATTACTACAGTGGTGTTATTTGCATTTAAAGACGCGCACACACACACACACACACACACACACACACACACACACACACACACGAAAGGGCATGTCTTTGGACTAAATTGTGCAAACAGCGCCATCTGCTGACTTATCAGTCAGTTAGCTGATGACATTTAAAAGAATCGGTTCTTAAATAACTGATGTAAACTATTAGCAAAGGATTTGTAAATGTGAGAATATTGGGAGCAAAGACTGTGAGGTGAGTGAAATCACTGCAAAAAAACATTTCATATTAATAACCTAACAGAAACATGTTGATAAAACAGTAGCATTTAACTAAAATATGTACTACAAAATGAATTTGAATGGGTGAATCAGTCATTTTGAACCAATTCATCAAAGGGATCAATTTATAAGGTCCCAGACTAAAACATTTATTAATATTGTTTATTAGAGGCATTTTCTGTTTTTGTCTTTATTTGTGTAAATAAATAAATTTGTGTGCGGTGCTTTTTTCCATTCTGATGTTAATGTTAAAGTTTTACTAATTGTGTTGTGTGTTTTTGCCGTTTTTGTTGTTTTGAATGTTTTTTATTATTATTTAGTATTTTAGTTTCAGTTTTAGTTATTTTAGTAAGCTACATCAAATTAAACTGCATGAAAATTAGACAATACTGTATCTGAAATTAAAAAATAAATAAAATAAAAATAAAACTTTCTCTATATTAGGCCTATTTAAGTTTATTTTATTTTATTAAATTTTTAATTTTTTAATTTTTATTTTTTTTTGAGTAAGCCTAAAAATTCAAACCCGACCTTATATTGGGTACAGAGCATCCATTCATTCTCTGAAAATTTCAATTTGCATGAATATTACCTCACAGCATCTGCTGATTACAGACAATGATGGCCTCTTTAATTCTGAGCATTTACAAAATGTTAGTTTGCAGTGTATTATTATTATTTTCCAGTTTGGTCATTTCTGGGATTAAAAAAAAAAGAGTTAATTTGAGGGGTGTGTTTTTATCTGAACTAAACTATCTGAACACTTTTAGTACTGATGTGTTGTAGATATACACTAAGAAACATGACTCTCTGCTATCAAACAGAAATAGTTTTGGCTATTATGCTTATGATTTCTGTGTTTCCTCACCTGATAGCTCTTGAAGCGGATGAACTCTACTCTGGTGGTCAGTCTTCTGTTGGCGCTGTGGCTCTGAGCTTTAATCGACTCCACCAGGTCAGAACAGAACTTGTATCCTCCCTTCAGAACACACAGAACCATCAGATCATGATGTCCGATGTCTTCAAGGATATCTCTGGCCAGACACTCGATCCTACAAATCACATTAGATCACAATGTCACAAACTGTGAGTGTGTGTGTGTGTGTGTGTGTGTGTGTGAGGAGGTCATGCGATTTCAGAAATTAGATTTAAGAGTCACATGAAGCTAATAGGGCGAGTTGTAAATCAACCCAATTTTCTTTGGAATGTGATTGTGGAGCTTGGAAAGCACAAGACTAAACAATGATTCCAATGAATAGTTCAGAATATAAACTTTCCTTTTTTTTTCAATACAAAGGAAAGCACAAATATTTAATAGCATTTAGCAATATTGTTTATGGTTTTCAATACAAAATGACAGACATATTTAAGTAACATAAATATTTAGTAGTTAGAAGAAAAAATCACAATGAGTTCTTATTAATATCTTAATTGCTTCTCATAAACATTTTGCTTAAGTACTCCGCTCCTCAGATTTTTCTCCTAAGAAAAAGATCCCTTTAAACTCTATTCAGTATAACTGCGATACTACATTTGAATGAGACAAATTAATAGAGCATGAGAGAGAATGCATGTGCATTTCAATAATCGCTGCCTTATATTTTTTATGTAGAGCGTTTGTTGTGGAGGAGGTGATCTGTGTCCATCAGAGTGGTTACCTGTTCATAATGACTCCATGAGGGATGTACACACACTCCAGATCACCCCGGTAATGCTCAGGATAATTAAACAGCTCCAAACTGTAACCTGCCCAGCCGTCTTTAATCTAAACCAACAACCAAAGACAGAATAGAAAATTAAACAGTTCATAGTAGGGATTAGTGTAAGTAGAATGACAAAATGCAAAAAGAAAATCACTAAGTGAGAATGCAAATTTAACAAGCTTTTAGGTCTAATTGTAATGAACAAAATCCAACATGTTCGGCATATTTACCACAACGCCTGGTTCTTTTCTCTGGTCAGCTGCCATGTCAGTGCTCGTATGTGTGAGAGTGAATTAAACTGTGATACTTACTGAGAGAGGACCAGACGTTTGTGCACCCACCCATTTTACATGAATAAACAGAGTGGGAGGTGTTTAGAATGTTTTCATTATCAAAATACTTTCTTTTTTGATAGACATGGGCAAATTTTATTTTATTTTTTATTTTTTTTATGGCTTTAGAAATAGTATTTTGTTCTTTCACATGCGTCACATTAGATGTTTAGCTGAAGTCATGCTGCTCATTACTGGAGAACAGATACTTTAGAATCTCCTTCATGAAAGACTCGCTTATTGCTCTGAATTTTCTGAAATACTCTGAATGCAAAGATACAGTAATCTAAGTGTTATAATGTTTGTCCTGACAAGAGTATAACACTACATTGTAATAAAATGACTAATAATCAACACCAATGCATATTTCCTGATAATTACAATATTCAACATCAGAGAGAGAGAAAAAAAAGTAGGTTCAACAAACAATTTTACACTTCTGATCAAAACTTTGTAAGATTTTAATTGTTTATGTATTCATTCATTCATGATCAAATAAATGCAGCCTTGGTGATAAATGTTCTGATAAAACATTAAGACATTATTATATTTTTTTGAATAATATTCACTGATGAATCATGAACAAGACCAGAAACATACCTTATTAAAGGGGTCATATGATGTTGCTAAAAATAACATTATTTTGTGTATTTGGTGTAATGAAATGTGTTTATGCGGTTTAAAGTAAAAAAAAAACACATTATTTTCCACATAATGTACATTATTGTTTCTCCTCTATGCCCCGCCTTTCTGAAACGCGTTGAGTTTTACAAAGCTCATCGTTCGGAAAAGCAAGGTGTGCTCTGATTGGCCAGCTATCCAGTGCGTTGTGATTGGCCGAATACCTCAAGCGTGTGACAGAAATGTTACGCCCCTTACCATACTGTGATGCCCTGTCCGGCCGGAGCGACGATTCAAAAACATTAAAACCCATTATAAACGAGGCATTTGTTGCATCCAGTGGGGACATAATTACGGATTATAATGACTTATACTGTCTTCTTGCGCGTTGCATCGTGCCGCGTAAACATAAAATTTAAGAGTGAGCGGAGGCCAGCGGCTATAGTGAGTGGAGGCCGGCAGGCTTGAGAACGGCGCGGTCGGCGGATTCGACGAAGGGGCAACCACATGTGACGACCCCGGGCTGGACTCCGCTTCGTCCACGGTGAAAGCCAATCCGGCGATCCATAGCACGAAGTTGATGTATTTCCTCACAGCGACCAGCACGGATCAGCTCCAGGCATGATGAAGCGGATATCGTCCTCTTTTGGAAGGCCAACCAAAGTAGTTTCGTTTTCAAAACGACACACACAGTGCCTTCACGACATGGCGGCAGGAACAACACTACAGCGAGAATAAAAGTTGCGCCTTCTGTCTTTGCGTGAACATTTGGGCGGCGTTATGCAAATTTTCCCACATAGTGAGGTAGATATGTGGGGGCATGTTAGAACGAGCCGTTTTAGGTAGGCGTGGTTGACTCTTAACTTTCATAAAGAATATCTCTTTGGATTTGAGACTTTAGTCTTTGCAACTTTACAGATCTTCTTTATGCACCAAGAGCTTGTAACACTTCAAAGAGAAAGGAAAAATTTAAATCGCATCATTTGACCCCTTTAAGAAAATAAATGTGGTTCATTTTGATTTCATGTTGAGTTTAAATGGATTAAATCGCTCAGAGACTATTGAGTTGATCTAAAGTGATCTTTATTGCACTCAGACGTATTGTTGTAAAGCTCTTCAAAAGCCTTTCAAAATATTTCTGAAGTACCATAAGAGAGGACAAGCAAAGACACTGTGGCAGTTTTGCCCGTTTCAAATGTTGTTCTTGGATATTTGCTGAATTCAGGGCTAGTTCACTAGCTAACATCATGCTCAGTTATTAGCAATGTAGATGGTTTTGTGTCGCTCAATCAGCTCAATATCTTTCTCCAGCTGCTTCATTTCCTGCTCCAGACGCTCCTTCCTATATTTTTTTGGAGCTGTGTCTGTGACAACAGAGAGGCCTTGGTACTGGTGATGAAGCTCGTCCCAGTTCTTCTTCAGAGCCTGCCAAAATCAAGTCATCAGACATTTCTAGCAATATAAAAAGTAAGCTATTGTATAATTCTTATACACTACCATTCAAAAGTTTGAGGTCAAGTAAGATTTATTTATTTATTTGGTATTTTGATTCAGCAACAATGCATTAAATTGTTTGAAATGGGAGTAAACACATTTCTGATGTTACAAAACA